GGGGGGGGTGACAAGCTAAAACTATTTCCTGTGATCACACTGCACAACAGATTAATATCTAACTGTAGTTTTCTATACAAAAGTTTAAGACATCATTTCTAAAGCCTGGAACACAGTCAGAAACAATCACCTTTCCCTGCTTCACATCAAAGAAAAAAAAAATCAGATGATCAAGCAAGAACATTATATTCAGAATCTACCTTTGTTCTGAGGCAAACCAAACATGTTTTGAATGGTAAAACTAAGCACAACTGTTTTGAGAGACTAGCAACAGCCTCTGGAATAATAAACAAAGGAAGGTAATGCCTTTGTAGCATGACATCACAGGTGAGGGCACCTGCTAGTCCCCACCTCTACCGCGGATCTGCCAATCACGGAAGACAAAAAGAGTTAAACAAACAGGTAATTCTAGTTCCTTCTAGACTAAAACAATAGTAGCATATGAACTGGCAAATAGCTTTGAGTACTTCATGTCTCCAAAAACAAAATACATGTGCCACAGTAATTAAAAGATGGTTTGTATTTCCCCTTCAATGTACAAAAACGCAGGCCCACAAATGAATTTAAGGGAAATGTGCACCAAACATTTGGAAGCCTTATTCTAAACAAATGTATATTGAGAGAACGAACATAAAGATTTCATTAACAAACTGAAAAAGGCCAGAATTAGGAATGTCAAAATATCTTGCACTTCTCCAGATCGCACCTGTATTTCCTTCCTTGTTCCCATTGCACAATAAGAAATAGTTCACCAATCCCTTCTTCTAGGAGCATTCTGGAACATGTAGCTTGCACAAGACCATGCAGCCTGGCTTGTCTTCTACAAGTCACAGTGGGTATTCAGATTCCTGATAGGTGCTCCAACTCATTCTGCTATCTAGGCAGTTGACTATATATTGCCCATCTAAGTTCTAAAACATGTACAATTACAACCTTTTCTTGTAAAATAAAGAGACAGGTGCTGCTTATTTGCTGTTTTGTTCTGCCTCTGAGTAAAGAGTGCCACCTACTGATATGCTCCATCAATAGAGACATACAACATACAAGTTCAATCATCAATCCAAATGGAAACTGTAGCCAAGAAATCAGAAGACTAAGACTTGGAGCAGTGAAGGAATCAGAAAAGATTATCAAGTGCAAGGTGTCACCGCAGACCAAGACCATCCACTCTCTTGTATTTCCAATCACCATGTATGGGTGTGAAAACTGAAATGGACTGCCAGAAAGACAAACAATTGGGTCCTAGAGCAAATAAAGCCAGAAATGACTGCCTTACTTTGGGCACATAATGAGAAGACTAGATTCTCTAGAAAAGACAACAACGCTGGGAAAAGTGGAAGGCAGCAGAAAAAGAGGAAATCCAAATACATACAAGATTGATTGACCTCCTAAAGCAGGTGGGCTTGCCGGAACTGGGCCACAGATATGGATCTCCACACACACACACCTTTATCCCAAATAACTGACTAGAGCATATCTAGAACCAGGCAAGGATGTTTAACATCACCTAAGCAGGACTATAAACTGAGGACAACCTCTTCCTCCAACCACTAGGTAATACTTTTGGTTTCATCAGACTTGGCTCACCTCATATGAGACAATGGCACACTTAATCATGAGTATATGGGGTTCTGAGTAACTATCCAACAAATTTGGGAAACCTTTTAATCTACATCCTTGGGCTGAAAGCTGAAACCTGCTACCTCCCCGCAGGCCCACTTTAGAACTTACTTAAAACAGTAGGGTTTGGACTCAGAAGAAACTAAACCACACATCTACCCATTAGTTTTGGAACATTTGCGTTTCTTCTGCACCACCCCTGGCTCTGCAATGCCCAACCTGACAGACTTCTGTAGGAGTCAAAATATAGCTTCTGTTTCTGATATTTTGATGGCCTAATAAAGATATTGCTCATAGTTTGAAAGACCACTGTTAATGACTGTTAACAACCCATGACAATGGGTGGATAAGGACTGCAACCACCCCCAGTGCTTTGTCCATCTAACCAGTGTATTCAGACCAGGGGGAAGTGAAACCAGTATGGAGGATATATCAGGGATCTGCTACCAACTCTCCTCAGACTGAAGAAGCTACTTGGATGAATAGTGAAATGTTTCAACTTAACAAGAAAGAAGTCCAGTTGCCATGACTCAGCTGCTAGATAACCTCATATGGATGACTGAGAATCTTCACAGATATGTTACATTGCAATATGCATTTACATCCACCGAGGCACAGCTTCAATCAACGATAAATTGCTAAAAACCTTCCTTCACTATTATATTACACTGTTCCCTTTTATGGCATTATGATGCATTCAGACATGGGCACAGGACCCTTAAAAAGTTCAAATTGCGTAGTGCAGAGATTCAGTGCCACACTTATTGAAAGACAGGAGGGAAGTTACTACTACTCAACCCAACCAACTCAAAAGGGTTGTGAACTTCTTCAAAGAAAGGAACATAAATGCAGATACAGTATGCAGTATTTAATCTTGGAAGCTGAACCACTAGGAAACAAGCAAGGTAATGTACTGGAGCAAAATCCACATTACAATCTCTACTCGGTTATATTAACCTGAATACACAAGAATGCAAAAAAAAAAAAACATGACTCAGCTGCTAGATAACCTCATATGGATGACTGAGAATCTTCACAGATATGTTACATTGCAATATGCATTTACATCCACCGAGGCACAGCTTCAATCAACGATAAATTGCTAAAAACCTTCCTTCACTATTATATTACACTGTTCCCTTTTATGGCATTATGATGCATTCAGACATGGGCACAGGACCCTTAAAAAGTTCAAATTGTGTAGTGCAGAGATTCAGTGCCACACTTACTTATTGAAAGACAGGAGGGATTGCAATATGCATTTACATCCACCGAGGCACAGCTTCAATCAACGATAAATTGCTAAAAACCTTCCTTCACTATTATATTACACTGTTCCCTTTTATGGCATTATGATGCATTCAGACATGGGCACAGGACCCTTAAAAAGTTCAAATTGTGTAGTGCAGAGATTCAGTGCCACACTTACTTATTGAAAGACAGGAGGGAAGTTACTGCTACTCAACCCAACCAACTCAAAAGGGTTGTGAACTTCTTCAAAGAAAGGAACTTTACAACGACCTCAGTACACACATAAATGCAGATACAGTATACAGTATTTAATCTTGGAAGCTGAACCACTAGGAAACAAGCAAGGTAATGTACTGGAGCAAAATCCACATTACAATCTCTACTCGGTTATATTAACCTGAATACACAAGAATGCAAAAAAAAAAAAAACCCACGTGTTTGGAGGTGGGCTAATTCACTTTTTTTGTTGTTGGCTACAAAACATGATGCAAAGGGAGATCCAAATCGGGTCCAGAGTCCCCACTCCATCAGTCCGAAGTTTCTTCTCTTCTCCTCTAGGGCGCCTATTTTTCGGATGTCCGAATCCATTCGGATGGGCGACCCTTTCACCCTCTCTAACCTGTTTCTAACGGTTATAGCGAGGTTCAACGGCGGTGGCACTAAAAACTCGTGACAATACCCGCCTAAACGACCAGTAAATAGGCTCAAGAAAACCTGATGGCATCTGCCAGTCTGTTCAGTTCGTTCTGCGTCGCCCAGTCGGAACCGATTTATAGCGAGCCTAATAGGGCTTTTACAGTAAGCGAGGTACAGTATTTATGGCGCGGTTTTACTAGTTCCACGCCCCCCAGGGAGCTCTCATGGCCAAGCACAAACCCTTAGCTCCAGAATCCTAGCTCGTCATTCGGTCTACTACACCGTTACTGTTATATTTACTTTTTGCAATTTTTTTTTACAACAACCAAAAAAAAAAACCCTCCCAATTTTCTTGCCTCGCCTAAAGATTTAGTCCTCCCACGCAACCTTCCACGACAAACTACCCGCGCACTCGCACAACTTGCCCTTTCCTACTTCATTGCCCAGAAAAAAAACATCACGTGATACTAAAAGCTAGAAGCCTGCGGGGGTTACGTCATTCACATTCGCCATCTTTTCTATGGGCAACAGCGAGCGCCGAATAAATAAGAGGTGATTGCTGACGTTCCTCTTCCTTTCCTGTGGCTCGTCCTAAGAGGAAGTGACGTATGCGCGGTCGTCTAACGTCGCAAAAACTGGTTTCTCTACGATTCTCCCCCTCCCTCCATTTCTCTTCCTTCACGGAGGCTGGAAATGGCCGCCGAGCAGTGAGAGTCGAACGCGAGGTGTCCCCCTCAAAAAGGTAAAACGGAGCCGGGTAAGCGTTCGAATAGCTGGATTAGGGTGGAGACCGTGAGGCCTGGTCTTGTTCCTTGGCTTCGCCCGGCTTCGGTGGACGTTAATTTCGCTCGGACACCATGGTGACGACCTCGCTTTCTCTTCCCCCCTCCCGCTCCTCGCGCTATGGCGTGAGACTCCTTGGAGCCCGCCAAGGCCTCTCCCGCCTCCCATCCAGTCTCTGGGCTCTTTCTAATGTTCTGGGCTCGACCTGTGGGAGTCCTTCCTCTCCCCCGTTTTGCTCCCTCGAGTTGCGGGGGGGGGGGCGCTGGATTGGTCGAGGAAGGCAGGTTTTCCTGGGCACTCTGTCGCTGCGAGCGCCGCTTTCCTCGGAGTGGGCCCGGCCGCTCCCTCTCCTTTGGCCTCCTTTTCTCTCCCCCATTTCCCTCCAGGGGCAGAGGATCCTTAGCCGGGCCCGTGAGGCGTGGCCAAAGGACTGCTGGGGAGGGGAGGGGGAGAAAGACTGGCGTCTGTTTCACGCAAGGCGAAGGAGGGGGCGCTTTCTGGCGTTTAGCTGAGGCAGGGCGACGATGCCTGATCCTGTTCTCCGTTCCGCCTCTCTTCTCCCTGTGGCTTCGCTAGCGCCGACCGAGTAAAGATGACGGATGAAGGGCGAAGACCTGCGCTTTCGTTTTCCGCCGCGTTTGTTCCCTCTGAGGCAGCTGTGGGCCCCCTTCTCCTGTTAATTTTTTTTTAACGCGCTCCCTGAACACACGTCAGTTGCAGATGTAAAGAAACAGGTTATCGTGAAGCTGCACTTTTAGGCAGCAGCTCCCTATTGAGGGTGGGTTTGGTAGCAAACGTGGCTGATTATTCCTACCTTTGTTCTATTTTCAGGGCAAAGTGTTTTGCTTATCTCCTGCAATTTTGTCCTTTTTGGAGCAAGTTAGTTCGTTAAGATTGCTCCTATATGATCACTGACGAGTACAGTATTCCCAGATGTTTATGCTTTCAGAGAAAAGAAATAGGCTATAAGAATGAGAGATGTACAGATTTCTATTTTTGGAGTATAGTTCCCAATCTAGATAATTTTTAGAATTGCGTATATACAATTCCCATCAGGATGATACATATGCAAGGAAAAGAAATCCTATCATTCTTATTACAGTTCCCAATCTAGATAATTTTTAGAATTGAATTTTAAAAGAAGAAACAGATCTTCTCACCTGTAAGTTGCTATAACTCTAGCAGTATCATCTAACCATTGTAGTTATGGAATGTTCTTGGAGAACAACATAATTAAGGCAGAGCAGAATGTAATTCATTTCCCATGCTAGCAAGTACTTACTACCTGTCTAATTCTCTACAGTGGGGTCTTGACTTGAGACCTTAATCCATATTGGAAGGCGGTTCTCAAGTCAAAAAGTCTGTAGGTCAAGTCTCCATTGACATACAGTGCATTGAAAACCAATTAATCCCGTAACAGGCCGTTTTTGTTCCATTTTGGTTTTTTTTCTGGTCTGTAAGTCAATTCTCAGGCTGCAAGTCAAATCTAAATTTTGCGGCCAGAGAAGTCTGTAACTCAAAAAGTCTGTAAGTCAAGGGTCCACTGTATGCTGGATTTCTTTGTCCAACAATTTTGATTGGATGCAGGGTTTTTCACAGAGGCTTGGGGAGCAGTGCATGCAAATATGATTGGCACTTTCACATAGTTTAAGGCAAGAGAATTAGATTCAGATTCTCCATTTTGGGCCTTCAAAGATGTATGTTGAAGCAGTGTTAGTAATTCACTGTGGTGTATGTATTTCCCCTGAAATATGATTCAAATACACTTTAAAATGCTGTGTATTTAACATATAGCAGTGGTTCCCAAACTTGGGTAACCCAGTGTTCTTGAACTGCAACTCCTAGAAACCTCAGCCACCACAGCTAATTGTGAAGGCTTCTGGGAGTTGCAGTCCAGGAACACCTGGGTTATCCAAGGTTGGGAACCAGTGACTTATAGTATGATATGCTTTGATAGTACATTCACTTTAAAATGCTGTGTATTTAACATATAGCAGTGGTTCCCAAACTTGGGTAACCCAGTGTTCTTGAACTGCAACTCCTAGAAACCTCAGCCACCACAGCTAATTGTGAAGGCTTCTGGGAGTTGCAGTCCAGGAACACCTGGGTTATCCAAGGTTGGGAACCAGTGACTTATAGTATGATATGCTTTGATAGTACATTAGGACCCCCATATCTGTCAGTGATCCATTCCATGATTCACCACAAATTCCTGAAACCACGGATAGTACTGAATCCTATATACACAAACATACAAGGAGGCAGGACAAAGGCCACAAGGCCCACCCACTTGTATGTTGTATATTGCAGGAGTCCCCAACCTTTTTCACCCCGTGGACCGGCTGGGGAAGGCGGAGCACCCCTGCACATGTGCGAACGGTGGCACGGTGCCTCACACGTGGGTGCTTGTGCATATGCGCGAGTGGCAGTGTGGGTCTTGTGCAGGCGTGCATGCACGAACGACGGTGCTTGCATGGGCACGCTGAAGCACACGCATGTGCAAATCAGCTGTGGGGAAGGAGGTCTGGCTCAGGCCTCGGACTGGCACCAGGCTGTGGACCGGGGGTTGGGGACCTCTGGTATATTGAACTGCAGTAAACAGCAGATAACTGAAACCAGGGATATGGGGGTCCCGCTTTACAGGTCACAGATCAATGTCAGATAGAAGTAGATCGTTTAATATTTTATAACTGTGAAATACTGCAGATGTATTGTTAGTGTATATAGAATTCAGCAGTATGTACACATGTATTAATTCAATCGTTACAGTAAGCCTATTAGACTTTGAACTAATGTCTTAAGCACAAAACTAGTAGATTGAAATGACTGCTTTCCCAAACTTATATCTTTAATACTTCAAGATATTTTAAAAACTTATGTAAGGTTAGAAATGACAGTTAAGGTAACAATACCTTTTTTTCATTTAAATAGGAAGTGATCTGAGTGAATTTTGCGTTCTTATTGTTGTGCAAGACTACAAGATATTTTAAAAACTTATGTAAGGTTAGAAATGACAGTTAAGGTAACAATACCTTTTTTTCATTTAAATAGGAAGTGATCTGAGTGAATTTTGCATTCTTATTGTTGTGCAAGACTACAAGGTAAGATAAATAACAGGCTATTTTGAATTCTTGATGAAAGCCTTGAAAATAGATCTTAACTGGCCTTGGGGAGAATTGAAAATGGATATGCTGCATCAGTTTGGGAAGGGGAGGTCTTCAGCCTTCTACCAGCTCCATGGTCAGTTTACTTGAGCTGTGTAAAAGACAATGCAGCAATATCTGTGTGCATCTAAATGACAGGAGGGGTAGTCCTCTTAATGGGGAACAAATGCAAGAGTCCTTTTAGACACGAATTGACATACGTTTAGAAATCTGTCTATGGAGATTTATTGTGGCAGTACACATCTATGTTACACTGTGTAACTGTTACAGGATTTCAGCCATCATTTTGGTTTTCTGGTCATTATGCAGTAGGATTATGTCCAGTATTACTGTGATAAATAAAATCCTGTTTCTCAGTGTAGCAAGTTGCAGTAGGGCAGACCAATTAAATAGTGGTTGGTGAGTCAGATCCTCTGTAAATTCCATTGATTCAAACCCTGCTAAAGTAAGTCACAACCAGAGTAGGCCCACTTGAATCAGTGGAGCTTGTGGAGTTAACTTATCGACTCCCCATTGACTCAATTGGCTACTCTTGTGCAACTGACTATTCTGAGTGACATGATTTCAGCCTTTGTCTTCCATATTACCCTTGTTCAGGTATGGTTTTCAGATGAAAGAATCTGTGAAAATAAATCATATAGTTTGTTGACTTGCAATGCATTTGATTGTTTAAACATGTTTTCATGCATGTATCCGTTGATCCATGTTTGTTCCTTTAGAAGCGATCTAACTGAAATGAAGGTTGTCTTGTTTTACTGGTTTGTTGTTATTTCTAAATAGGTGTGAGCCAATCAGGAAGATGGGTCGTTCTAATACTAGATCACATTCTTCAAGGTCAAAGTCCAGATCTCAGTCTAGTTCAAGATCTAGATCCAGATCACACTCTAGAAAAAAGAGATACAGGTACTTTTTTGCATGTTTTTCTGTTGTGTCTGTTTTTTCTTACATTTGAAAATAAGACCTACTGGTGTTTTATAGTACCTGGGTGTCCTGAGAATCACAGATTTATTGGAAGTATTTTCAGATATAAAGCCAAATTACAGTTTAGTAGAGATTCAGATTCTTTTTTTGATTTTTCAGAAACCATTGCACTTCTCCATTTTACCACTGGTTCCAACCTGGGCACTAAAGTCAAAAGGGATTTGCTTCTGAGCAAACAAGATTATTCTGCACAGGCCCTTTTCCCTCTCCGTTACCCTCCACACTCCTGTTCTGGAAACCACTGGTTTAGTGTGATATAAATGAGCCTAGATTAGCCTTGGGTTCACAGCTCTTCTTCATGTAGACGTGAAGCATTTTTGAAATTTCTACATCTGTTGTGTGAAGCATCAAATGGTGGTTAATGTTGATTCTGGGATGTTTAAAATGAGTCAATTTGAAACCCAAGACTTAATTAGTTGCATTATTTAAATAAGCCTAATCAGTGTTTTGGACTTGGATGTAACACTAATCTTCATTTACTGAAAAATGTAAGTGAAAGCTTCCAGCTACCTTTCATCTGTGCTGGAGAAGAAGGAGGGAAGAATATGATTGCAAGGCTTTCTTAGCCACATTCATGTTACTGTTTTAAACAAGACACTTGAAGGTCCTATTTATTTTAGAAGATGTGTTTTTGTCTTGGGTATTCATAGTTACTGGCTATAGTTGTGCAAGGAGTGGTTGTAGATTATTATATTACTGTAGCTGGTTGGATAGCTCAGTGGTTTAAGTATCTGGCTGAGGAGCCAGAGATTGGGAATTCAATACCACACTGTGCCTTCTGAGAAAAGAGCCAGCCTGTTTCCTCATGGGCAAGCTGTATAATACTACAGTGCCCACCGAAGAAGAGAATGGTAGACCAATTCTAAATATTTACGCAGAAAACTCTGAAAAGGGTCACCATAAATTGGAATAAACTTGATAACATACAGTTATTGTTATATTATGCTTATTGTGAGCAATTTGTCAGTTAATCATTGAAAACTATTTTTCGTTCATTGGAATGTCTGTAAGACATTTCAAAAACATAGGAAGATCACATCTGAGATTTTTATCTTAAGTAAGAGGTGAGTTAGTGCACTTGAGGGCCAAATACTAGCCCCTGGAACCTGCCATAGCCTGCAACAATCTTGAAAATTGTGAAAAACAGTTACTTTTTAAAAAGTCAAAGACGTTTGGAGGACCCTTGCAAAAACCACTACTCCCAAACACTTCTAAGAGGCCAAAACATTTTTCCTGCATTTTGCCATGTGGGGAGTTCTAGGGTAGGTTTGGGACCTCAGCATGCTTTCTGGGGGAGGGCTATGTTGCCAACAGGTATTGCCCACCCTTGTTTTAGGGATTGGCAACCCAGTATCATCAAGATGTTGGGACTTCAGTTCTCACAGCCACTTGCTATATTAGTTATGGTTTGGACACTTAATTTCTTTTTTGTTTTAGTTCTAGGTCTCGGTCTAGAACATACTCACGCTCTCGCAGTAGAGAGCGTGTTTATAATAGAGATTACCGCAGAGATTATAGAAATAATAGAGGAATGAGGCGTCCCTATGGCTATAGAGGAAGAGGTAGAGGATATTATCCAGGAGGCGGAGGACGATACCATCGTGGAGGTTATAGACCTGTCTGGAATAGAAGACATTCTCGAAGCCCTCGACGAGACCGCTCGCGTTCCAGAAGTCCAAAGAGAAGGTCAAGATCTTCCCAGAGATCTCGGAGCAGATCTCGACGATCCTACAGATCTTCCAGATCTCCAAGGTCCTCTTCATCTCGGTCTTCATCTCCATATAGCAAATCTCCTGTCTCTTCCAAAAGACGTGGGTCATCAGAAAAGCAAACAAAGAAAACTGAGGCAACCACTTTGCAAGATAGCTCTTTAAAAAATAAATCACAAGAAGAAGAGAAAAATACATTTGAACATGATCCATCTGAGCCTCTAGATGATTTTAGTAAGTCAGCAGCAGCTTCAGGTGATATTTGGCCTGGCCTTTCAGCATATGATAACAGCCCAAGATCTCCCCATAGCCCCTCTATTGCCTCCCCACCTAGCCAGAGTTCTTCATGTTCTGATGCTCACTTACTTAGCACAGTTCACTCAGCAAAAGACACACCTCAGCACTCACATTCCATTCAGCATAGCCCTGAAAGGTCTGGGTCTGGATCCTTGGGAAATGGTTCTAGTCGCTACAGCCCTTCCCAGAATAGCCCACTGCATCACATTCCTACAAGGAGAAGCCCTGCCAAACCAGTTGCCTTGCAGAATGCTCCACGTGAGGAGACTCGCATACGATCTTTTTATGCAGAAGCTGGGGAACAAGAAAGTACAAAGGGTGCAAAGTTTCTTAAAAGGTAAGATCTGGAACCACAGAAATAAAGTTATTCAGTTATATAACAATTTAATATTTTATTAGTATATGTATTGTGCTTTTAAAAGTACTATATTTTATATTGTGATTTGATTCTGATTTGGAGGTGTATGCAAAATATTTGGTATTCATGATTCTTTCTGAATGAGGGTTGAAAAGATGTGTTCCCTTGGTATCTTGTAATGGTTTTATATGAAACTATAAAAGGAAAAAAGACAGATCATATTGCTCAATTTGGAAAAAAGAGAGAGCAATGTATATTAAGGATCCTTGACAGAATTATTTCCTTAATCTTCTAGAGCTTTAAGAGAATTTGATGTACCATGTGCTTAAAAGTGTACATTTACACTCCAAACAATATGAGCTTGTTAAGCAGTAGAGCTGAAATACATTTTTCTCTTGGTGAATAAAGCATTATGATTAGAGATGGGCATTGATCAGAAAAATGGTGATCCATGATCAGTCAAGATCAACAAATTACGAAGTTACAGTTTTTTTCTGATGAATCGACATATCAATTTATTGATTCATTTTTTACTTTAAAATCCTATAAAATGGCCCCTAAGCACCTAGAGACACCAAAATAGCAGGGAAGTTTCCTCTTGCTCTCCTCTACAATACCTCCAAGTTTGGTGAAGATTGGGTATCGGATGAGTTATACACCTACAAAGAAGGCCCCCCAGGAAAGTTCCCTCCAGGCACCTAGAAATGCCAACATTACAAAGAAGCTCCCCATGAGTCTCTTATACAGTATCTCCAAGTTTGGTGAAGATTGGGTTTCCCCAAGCCAGCTTCTAAGGGGCACTTTCCTGAGAAGACCCAATTCGTGGATGTGTAACTTGGGATGTCTGAAACCCAAACTTCACCAAACCTGGAGGGATTGTAGAGGAGAGCAAGAGGAAGCTTCCCTGCTATTTTGGTGTGTCTAGGTGCCGGGGAGGGGGTTATAGCCCAACAAATTGATGAATCAAAAATCACTAAAAATTCGTTGTTTTGTATTCATCAAGACTGATTTGTATGAATACAAATTGACAAATTAATGTTTTTTAAAATGAATTTGGTGATTTGTTTTTTTGATTTGTGCCCATTTCTAATTATGACTTAATCAGATTTTTCAGACATTCAAGACTCATCTTGTTCCATATGTTTGGGCAGTGCCATGCTGGCTGGGGATGGTCAGAATTGTAATCCGGCACATTCAGAGGGTATTAGATTTGGGAAGGCTGCTTTTGAGGAAGTCTAGTTTGAATTTTCAAATGTAAGTGGTTACTTGATTAGCCAATTTGGCCTTTCATATAAATAGTTTGATCTTAAGTATAAACAGCATTGTAGTATACAGTACTTGGTTATTTTCTAGCTAACAAGAAGATCTCACATTCTTTATAAAGTATTGAAAATAGGTATGTAATCCATTTCTGCCATCCTTATTTTAAGCAGTTGAAAAAGTCTGTAGATAATAGGCCTATGTTGCTCTTCAAGGCTGATTGTTTAAATCTTACTTATCCAATGGCAGATAGTTTTTCTTCTAAAATACAGTGGTGCCTCGCTTAACGAGCGCCCCGTTTAACGAAAAAATCGCATAGCGATGGCTTTTTTGCCATCGCTTTTGCGATCGCACAACGATCTTGCCTATGGGGAAA